CGTATTCAAACAAAAAATATGCATGCAATTGACAAAATACGTTGTTATAATGGAAGCATAGGAATACTCACAAGATGACAGATTCAGGATGTGTTTCGCTTAAAGCATACAAGCCGAGGCGTCGCAGGACTCAGTAAGAACAAGTGGCGTTCGAATATACACCGTAGATTCCGAGGCGCAACTGTTATTAAGTGAATAAAAATAAGCACTTAGATCCTCCGGTGGTTGTTCACGCTCCTTCAAGAACCCAGTTTAAAGTAATATAGGACACTTATTTATGCGAATCCTCGCGCTAGCGAGCATACCTGCCCCCACTGAGAACATAAAGAGCAGTGCTACACCCTTTTTTCATTTGTGCCTTTCAGGTGAACGACAGTCACTGACGGACGAGAACAAAAGCGACCCGGGAAACTCGGGCAATAGTCTCGATCCTGTGTATCACTCCGTGAATCCGTGAATACCAAAATACGCTTCGCTTTACGAAGCCCATCGGAAACGGGAGAAAATTGCTGGACCACCTGAGCTCATTAGTTATTGGTATTCTTCGCCCCAAACTCCTGGTCCTCATATCAGATGGGGAGGCTCAAACCTATCGTCACTTTCCAAACACCATGCGAATCCAAGTTGGGCACACTTACTGTTAATCCTAGTGCCGTGGTTTTTACATCTTCACATATCTGCTTTTGTTTAAACGCATCATTCTTTCGCTCTCCATTGTTGTTAGGGTGGTGTTGGTGTGCGTTCCGTTTACTCCTGCCTTGTTTTGTCTTTCCGCCTGTCGAACAAAAGGTTAGTGTCTTGTTTTTCAACGTCAACTGATACTGATTTCTGCCCTTTGCAGCATTTATCAGACGATCTGAGGCCAGCTTGTCGTAAGCCAATGCAGGCCTTTAACTCGCACGATGAGCTCAAAAGTTTACAAGTCTGAGAAACCGAAGTTGAAATTCGCCCAGTCAAATATCAATCATGTATACCGAGGCAATACAACGGAAACACAGTACAAGCCCAGTGAGTCAATAGGCTAAGATCTATGCGTTTCTTCATTTGCCAATGTGATCGCGACTTTTCAGTGGGCGCAAAGTGAATAGGAAATGCATGTTAAATAGGTTTGCTGTACGATGTATCATGTGATTCCACTGATCCTACGAGACTGTAAAAACGCGGTAAACCGATTTCACATGCGATAATTTAGGTGTGATCGCTGCAGCCTTAATCTGCATTTGGAGCTGCCGTTATCTTGATTGAGTCGTTTGTGGTTAGTTCTACGTGTGCAGTTGAGGGTGGGAAAACAGTGAAGTAGGGCGAGACCCCAAAAGTAAATGAACGCATGCACTCTCGCGGCACTCGTAAAACGGCCCTATTCTGTCTTGAGCATAGTATTTTGTCTGTTGGGTATATTCGTGCTACCCAGTTACGTTAGGATGGGTCCACCACGAAGGATTCTGCTCGCAGGGGCCTCAAGGTCTTTTAATTACGAAGAGTGCATCTTGTCTCCGTCAGTAGCGGGCATGCCAATGAACTGAGCAGATTCATGTCTTGAGTCGGAAATCGTAACCAAAGGGACACGCTTTCCGAGGATCCGAAAGAATATACGCGTGGAACCCATCGATTATATCAGATAAAGCTTGGGTAAGTATACGTATTCAAGTCGGAGTAATGTGAGGAGAAGTTGTCGGTGCCATATCACCAAACTGGCTGAAGCCAGCTACTCTTAAGCTAGGATGAAGCGCACCTGCTCACACTGCTGCTGCAAGCTTTGCGACAGAGCATTAATCGTTGCCTTTGGTCGTTCAACCAGTATGTAGTTCCATTGTTCTATTCCACACCCAAGATGGCTCAGTGGTTAGGGCGCGGACCTAGTGAACGGAATGTTTGTGGTTCTAACTCAGTCTCAGTACCTCGACTGCTCCCGCGTGGGTTTGGGCAACCTGGTATTTTCTCAGATCTCATACTTCCTTCGGGTGGCATGGTGGCTGGACGCCGAGTGGGTGTTACAACTGGACGAATATTGGTTAATTTGTTCCAAAATATGGATAGGGGTGTCTACTGCCAGCGCTGGCACACAACTGTCGCGCAACTGGTAAGGCCGTTAAGGTACTGAAATTAGGCTCCCATTTTGTAGGCACGGCCTACCAAAGACGTCAACCTAAAGCTTCGAGTAAGTGAAGGTCCACTTGGATGAAGCTGTTCTACGCTACACGCTCTTGGGGAGGAGGTCCTGGGTCTTCGACTAATCGCTCCTGTTCCGTGTTGAGACTTCCAGGTTTAGTCCAGAGCCTGTGTTCTGAACCGGAAATAGCTGGGATTCACCGAAGTTAACTGTTCTGTGCCAAGAGGGAGGGTAACGAAACCACCGCCACTCATCGTGTTGTCAGGGCCATAGTAATCGGCAGACGACAGCCGGCAAACGAATCACCAGTCATAGTGACAATTTCAAATTCAGTACGAAGTCCGCATTTTGTTCAGATGTATACCTGTTACAAAGGTACCAGCGGAACCAGTATATCGGTTACACTCATCTTTAGTGAGCGGTACAATCGAACACTTCACCGCACTAAATCATATCTTCTTTTCTAACTTCTTCAATGGCTTACATGGATTGGAATTGAAACGCCTCACAACTTATATTTGTCGTTTGTCCATCTGATCCTTCACTTGAGTATTTTACCGTCTATTCTCCCTTCTCCATATTGGTTCCACCGCCAGATCCTTTTCTTTCAGCTATAACACCATTCGGTGCCTAGCTTCCATGCCACCAAAAGGAAGCACGAGGGCTGGGATGCTGCTAGGTTGCCCAAGCCTATACAGGGTAAGTCGAGAGGCAGAGGTCGGGTTAAAACCACGGCTCTCCGGTCAGTCAGTTCGCGCTCTTACCACTGAGCCGTCTCGCCCCCGAGCACCTGCTGCAGATGTGTGCTGATCACTGACTATTCCTTTACTCCATGGACGTGGCCATTGTGCCTGATGGTTCACAGAGTCGAAGGCACTGTATTTTATGTCGCGTGGCATTCAGCTTGTTTGAGCTGACTGAACCGTTCAGCTGTGCACCCTTTCTGTGTGCTGATCACTGACTATTCCTTTACTCCATGGACGTGGCCATTGTGCCTGATGGTTCACAGAGTCGAAGGCACTGTATTTTATGTCGCGTGGCATTCAGCTTGTTTGAGCTGACTGAACCGTTCAGCTGTAGCACCCTTTCGGTGCCTAGCTGCCATGCCACCCGAAGGATGCACGAGGGCTGGGATACTGCCAATTTGCCCAAGCCTAGACAGGGAAAGTCGAGAGGCAAAGGTCGGGTTCGAACCACGGACCTTCCGGTCAGTAAATTCGCGCTCTAACCACTTGGGCCATCTCGCCCCTGTTTGAGCTTAATACCTGGGTGACTCAATGACGACCGTTCATTGGAATCCTATCCAACCCGCACACCATACATTCCATGAGTCATCACTTCGGGATCACCGGATACACAGAGAGTGGAATGTGACGCATCAGTTCATGCTTGGCGTTTTGGGACACATGGACCGCGCTTTTGTCTCCCATCCGTGTTTCGGAGAGAGTGTACATCAATTTAAATGAGTATGAGGGCTTGCCGAACATCGTCAGTTTCCCAGTTTGGCGTGAAAATCTCCCGTCTAGAAAATATCACGTGAATTTAGCAAGTGGTTATTTTGTTTGCGGTTAAAGGATAACTGAGTCAAACTACCCAGCAGCGTTCGTTTGTGTTGTTGGAAACGGTTTGAGAGGGACATCGGTGGACATAACTGTGCTGTAAAGTGATACTTCTCGGTTGTACTACTGTGTATCTTATGATATGGCTGCGTGCAGCAGAGCACAGGACTCTGGTCGTAATGAATAATGCGTCGGTAGTCAGTCAACCGTTGGGCGATTGGGGTGTTGTTTTTAGGGTCGACCTTTTCTAACCCGTCCTTTCTCAGCGGGGGGCAGCATCGTTGCGCTCACAAATATGGACATGCTAGTTGCCTAGGGAAATGGTTACTGACTCCATACTCCCGTCACAGGAAGCAGTACGAATTTGTCCCCAAACCGCCTCATAGAAAAAACTTGCTGCTACTGCTTCTTTTTGGCCTTCTTAGCATGGATGCACCCTATGGAACGCAGTTCTAGCCGGGGTAGTCCGCCCACAACGTCTAGGTGGGTGGCGGCCGCATGTCTCCCTCCGTGTGCCCTATGATCCCGAATAGGTAACTTGCGGAATATATGGAGTACGCGTTGAACTCACCTCCAGACCTGAAGCTTCGCTAGATGGGATCCCCGTGAACAGTCGTCTTTTCGCTGTCCGGTTATCTAGTTCAATCATACTCAATGCCTGCTGACAAAAAGAGGTGCCCGCTTGTATTTACGGAGTATGCCCCAACGGACTGCAGCTTCTATCGAGAGTTGTCTTGGTTCGCTTGTCAAGCAAGAATCTTTGACATTTTGATACGTGCAGGTGATTTGAACGCTCAAATAGGCCGTCTTAGCTCCTTGGAATCACATTTGGTCGATTCATACATAGTTCATGCTCGTCGAACGGAGGATGCAGAGCGACTCTGAACATGAACTGGTTCAATCATACTCAATGCCTGCTGACAAAAAGAGGTGCCCGCTTGTATTTACGGAGTATGCCCCAACGGACTGCAGCTTCTATCGAGAGTTGTCTTGGTTCGCTTGTCAAGCAAGAATCTTTGACATTTTGATACGTGCAGGTGATTTGAACGCTCAAATAGGCCGTCTTAGCTCCTTGGAATCACATTTGGGGAGTCGATTCATAGTTCATGCTCGTCGAACGGAGGATGCAGAGCGACTCTGAACATGAACTGTTTCTGGCCACTAAGAAATTTCAGCATAAACGTTGGCATCGTGTAACCTGGCGGCCACTACCTGCAAATCCAATGTGGACCCAGTTGGACTACGTGGCCATCAGCCACCGGTGGAATGCTACAATTCAAAACTGCCGTTACTTCTGGAGCACACTTGATTCCAATCAGGCCATGATGCATGTATGTCTAACAGTTCGTTCCTCCTCAGACCCTTGCAAGTGAGAAAAAAGCCCACCAATCCACCATCTTCGAAAAACCACCATACCTAAACAGTATCAATATGAGCTAGCTCAACAACTTTCCACAATGAAACAATACTGTACTGACAGTGAGCATGTGGATGAGGCGTGGCGAAATGTGGAAGGAGCTGTGCTAGTGTCGTCCAGTGTTGTTTGCCCTCCCCGATTCGACCACCGCATTTCGTCGAAATCACCATCCATGATTGATACCAGGAAATCCAAACCAGCAGGCAACAAGTACGACGGCGCACGCAAATCCCTCAAACGTCAAATAGTGAAGAGTCTAAGGAAAGACCGAGAGCTCTGGTGGAGATGGAGAAGGCTTTTGATACAAGAAACAGCCGTGCCCTATATCAACTGATACGATCGACTGGCCCTAGGAAAGCAACGGTCATTGAAACGATAAGTGGAAAAAATGGCTCATTGATTCACTCGCAAAAATCGTCAGCTGGAAAAATGGGTCGAACACTTCTCAGAGCAGTTCACCTGGCCTCCTGTAATACAAGCCTGTGAAGATAGTGCATGCGGGCGAATGGAATGTAAACCTTGACCGCCCACCGGAAGAAGAAATAAGATACGAAATGTCGGTACTGAAACGTGAAAAGGCACCAGGACCGGACAGTTTGCTTCCAGACCTCTAAAAAAAGGCGCAGATTCCCTGGTTACCCATCCGACGAAGCTTATTGTGCTATATGGGACGATGAGAAGTTGCCTGTAGAATGGGGTATATCGAGAGTTCAAAAATGGTGCGCAGACGTGTGGAAACCATCGTGGCACCAGCCTGTTGGCTCTGGCATCATAGGGGTTCTCATATCCTATCCTTCAACGGTTGACTGAACACAGGGAGAGGCAAATCTGTGAAAACTAAGCTAGGTTCCGCCCTGTAAGGGTATGCCTCGATCGAATCTTCGCTCTCCGACAAATTCTGGAACATAGACACTGCTTTCAG